GGGGTTGTGGAGCAGGTACATCTGGTGGGTCTGGGATGATCTCCACGTTGACCTCGTAAGACTCCACATCGGGATAGGTAGTTATTCTGCTGAACTTCCGTAGCACTGGTGGAGTGGGTTTGTGACTAGGCGGAGGCGTTCCGTCACTCTGGGTAATGATTATTGCTGGGGGCCTGCTGTTATGTCCCATGACTGAAGACTGCAGGGTCTCAAAAACAGAGAGAATAACTTCGGAAGAGAGTGACCCACGAGAATCCTGGCCTTGCCTCTGCCTTATGTCCTGAAAGGCCTGCTGCTCAAACTGCCGTGCCTGCTCTTTTACTGTCATTTTGGGCTCTGTATCTTCGTCTACAAGCCCATCAAACCCATCAATCATCTCCTTACTGTCCTTAAGGTCGGACTTCAGCAGTTGCAGCTCCCACTGAACTGGATCCATTGCCACAGTTCTACTCAGTAGGGCTTCATTGGTCTCACACTTGTGCAACCTAGAAGGTAAAGTCCAGGCATGTCCTGAGCCTGTAGATGGGAAGCGCAGGATGGACTTTCTCAGACCTCTCATGTTGGGTGAATACATGCCCAGGTGGTACCTCTGATTTTGGTGCTCAGGGCTGCTGAGGGTGCCGTCATCATGGTACAGGGGGTTGGTTGTAGTAAGAGGGTTCTCGTCAGAAAGGAAGGTAATGTTGCTTTCTGACTTAGGCAAGTTGTTAAGCAGGACTCCATTAGCGGTGGACAGCTTGTGAGCAGTGATGGCATGGGAGGCAAATGAGCTAATGAGATGCTGCCGATCGCTGTCCTTCAGAACACACCTCTTAGTCCTGCTTTCAGCATAACCGCAAAAAGAGACAAAGATCGACTTAAAAGAGGACATGAACAGCAAGATAGACGGGGAATTAGGAGGGAAGCCAGCTACAAAAAGCACTTGCTTGGATTGACTTTAGTACTAAGAACAAAATGCTAAACAAATCCTAAGCAAACACCCAAAACAAGTTTTCACAGAACAGCGCTAACACAGTGCCAAGATAATATCAATACTGATCAAGAGAAAGGCAGCTGATAACAATGCTAGGCAATTTGAAGCAAAGGATATTCAACATCTTTGAGAAACTATCACAAATGCAGCTATACTTTACTTACAGTATAATTTCTACTTGCAACTACTTGGGTAGTTGACTACTATAATTGAAACACAGATGACTCCCTACTTACTTAGATCTGATATCCAAGAAATGAGAAAGAGAGACAGGAGGAAAATACATTATATGAGTGAAATTAGCAAGATGTTAAAATGCAGATAAGTGTAATAAAGGTTACACCTTTAAAAATGGAAACCTGCCTAACATTAGACAATCATTACAGAGAAATTAGTCTAATTAAAATGTGACATCACAACAGTTAGCACAATAAAACTCTCCACATTACTGTCCACATTTAAACTTTAATGCTGAAAACCAGTTCAGTCATGATTAGGACAATATAAGTAGGACAGACACTATTATGTTATGACAAAAAAAAAGTTTTCAATCATCGTGGTCAGATAAAGGTTGCAGTAGACAATAAGCCAGTTTCATTTTAAGGGTCAGGAAGAGGGTAGAAAATGTGCACCAAAGCTGTCTAGGAATTTATTACAGTATATCAGTTGGTTTTCTACTTATCATTCCTCCCCACTGGGGGTATATGGAAGGCCCTAGAATTGTATGGTAAAAAGTAATGAAATTACTCATAGAAGATAAATTGTCTTGACAGTTTTGTGGTCAAGAGCTACTTAACAGTTTTCCAAAAAAAACAGAAACAACAAAACACTTTTTGATAAACCAAAACCTTCAGGATGCAACACTATGAATATGGCAATGAAAAAGCCACATAGGATTTCAGATGGTATCTTCACTGCTCTGATTTAAATTTAAACACAAACGTGTTAATTGTCATGCCTACTATATGCCTTAGGGGTACCTGCAACTTCTAAAATAAATGAGTCCAGTCTTCATCAAATATGGGTTAGATGATCTTTAGACCATTCCTGATAAATGTGGATCTTTGATATTCCACAAAAACCTTCCTGTAACATGCTATGAAATGATAACCATGAAGACACGGAACAGGACGGGAAGCTGTGTATTGCTTTTTACTTTCAAAGCTTGTGATGTTGGGACCACACCCTGAAGGTAATACAAGAGTTTGGTGATCACCTCAACCTGGGTTCAGATATGAAATCTTTTTATTGAAGGCCTGCAATTTTGCATTACCCCTAATGTGTTAGAAATCCTGGCACAGGTAAAAGAATAAATGGAAATGACCATCACAAAAAAGGGATATTGCCACTGGGTGGAATTTTAACAACATGAATAGAAGCCCTAGCTTTGCTAAGCAATAAAACACTATTGCTGATTTACATTGCTGTATCATTGACTTTTGTACAACAAACTATTCAGGTAGTGTTGAGTTGCTATTTGATATCCAATGTAAAATCTGGGACTTTAAGCCAAACCATTTGAGAACCACTGAATTAAATAATGCTCGAGAGAGGGAAATGGTTGAGATATATAACCAATATATCATTACACATGCATGTCTCAATACGATACTTACTCTTTGAATCTGAAGTTGGTGCATTGTAAAAAGAAAAGAAAAAACATATTAGACAATGACTCATAACAACATGGATTTACTGCACAGCAGTAAGAATCAGTAATGCAAAAAAAAAAACATGTATATTGCAAAAATATATATTGGATTTCAGCCAAAAAATTAAAAAATCTGTTATCTTCTCCCCACAAGTATGAATTATATCCATGCCAAACTAAACCCTCAATAATTCCTGAATTATTCTCATATCTCTAGCACTGATCATGTCATTTTATTCCTCAGTTCTCAACATTAGGTTTGCCATATGGCACTGGGTCAGCTGGCAACACACAAAACTCAGCCCTTAACCACAAACAGCTTCTTATATTTACTTCTCATGGCCTTGATTAATCTTCTTTCATACGGAATAAACACAAGACCAGACAGTTCTCAAAGGTGTTACCACTGTGAAAAGAAAGAGTGCATATGTTCTTCTGAAGTCCCAGCGGATGGAAGCTGCCTGCTTAACAGGATGTTTCAAACTTAATGAACTTTACATTTATTTATTTGGTATATTTAATATATTGTCTTCCCACTTCAACCTCATTCCCACACAGGGCATAAAAGCAACATTGTGACATAACATTTCTATTAAAAACTAACTGGAAAAATATGCAAAGAATCACAACAGAAGAATTGGTTAATGGCTAATTTCACTAAATATTAGGGGTGTGCGATATTTATCGTCTATGAACATATAATAACTGTTGTTTTAACAATATGCTAGCTGACAATATTGAGTATGTAGCAAAAAAATAAATAAATAAAAAATGTATATGATATTGTTAAATAGGCAATATCACACAAGCAAGAGTGCCATCTTCCCGATCACGAATGTTGTATTGATTCTATACAACAGTTCAACAAACAAGAAGCTAATACTGAGTTACATTTCAGGCGCAATTATGTCTGTTTTTTTTTTCTTACATAATAATAAACATGGCGATTTTTCATTCCTGAATTAATCTGTTTTGGAATGAGTCATTTGAGTCAGTGATTCATTAAGAGCCCCTGTTGCCACTACCCACTGGCGATTTTAGTGTTATATTTATTTATTTATTCATGACAGGCCTAAACCAGCCAAGGTACCAGCACAAAAACACAATCAGCTAATTATTGTTATCGGAAAAATTTGAGATATAGTTTTTGTCAATATCACACACCTCTACTAAATATTAATATTAAATGGCGACACTCACTGCCGGTAGGTGATGATGACGATGAGGATGGCTGGGATACAACACATGATGATGATGACGGCCAGCGCCAGCAGGGCTCCTTCAGTGTATCCGACAGACTGAACCGCCTTCTTCACGCTCTCCACCACATCCGGCGTGCGGATCTCCAGAATGCGTCCTCCGCGACCTAGATAGGGCTGGAACTCCTTATTGATGTCTAATAACTTCCCATCTAAAAACCTGTAAAAACCACAGGAACAGTCACATATGTGCCCTTGCACATGCTATTGAACTAGTTCTGCAGTGCAAGACACGCAAATCTGGCAATGGAGATCTCATTTGCCTTCCAGCCAGTGAACAGCTGAGTGAATGTATTCAAATTCATGAGCCAAACTTTTACAATAAAGTATAAAATGTGTCTTCTCACTTTTTTAGTGTAATGTAAATGTAATGTGCTGATCTTATACTTACATTGGCTACTATAAAGCACAATTTCTAAGTACCATCCACCCTGCTGACAGTTAAATAAAACAAAAGACTGAATGTTGTCTATATTAGAACTAAGGAGTTTGGAAGCACATACGACAGCCTACAATTCATGATTTGCCCATACAAACATTAGAAACCGTGCTGTCTGAGCAGGCTAATTACTGTGACAAAACAGACAATCTGGCTACGGATTTAACCACAAGTCTCATTTTTATGAAAAATTAGAAAATGTCTAAACAAACCTAAACATACACTCCATCTGCTTTATCGTGCTGCTTGGGTGAAAAATGGGAAAACACTATGAATAACAGACTAACTAATGGCTAGGGGTGGGTGGTATTTTAAGTAATGCTGTGATAAATGCTATACCATGCTAATTGTGTGTATAATTGTGTATGCAGGAAATTGAGTGTAAAATAAAAGAATACACTGCATGGCCATGTTAACCTTTTTTTTGGCATAATCCAGTGAATTAAACACTTTACAAATGAAAGGTAATTCATATAATGTGATTGATTATTTATTTATTTATGAACCTGATGGACACAAAACAAATAATCAATAAATTAGACATTAGTGCAAGCTGGTATTTAGCCGAAAACAAGCCAAGAAATCCATGTATCATCTGTAAAAATGACTCGTATTTCTATTTACAGCAATTACAAACACAATTCTTCAATCCAAAATCATGTCCACTTAATGCACCTACAGACGTGTAGCACTCTGCAGTTTTGCATTACTCATCTAAATAATATAAAGCAGCTCTTCCCATTTACTGTATAGCTGAAAAACACATCTATATTCCAGTGTGAAGGGTAGATATATCTCTAGCAGTTAGTTGCTTAGATTTGAGGGAAAGGTCAGGAGGTTAAGAGAAAGAAGAGCACTGCAGAAATGGAGTTTGGAAGGGTAAATTGAATGAGAGGAAGCACTCACTTGAAGAGTTCCTGTCTTGAGAGAGCTCTGTTGGTCAGAGGGTCGATTGCATAAATCATCAGGTCAGATTTTGAGTAGTCCTCCTGTTCATAACCCTCGCCAAAACGACGCGATCCAATTGACTCCACAACAACTTTAGCTCCTGGGATCTGGTCCTGGACGTAACGCTCTAAAATCCTGCATTGAAAGACAGAAAATAACAGATTGACAACAGAACGTTCTGACATACCGAAGACATTCTATTTACCATTTTTTATTTCTAAAATTCTATACAAACATACTTTTAATGACTGTTTTCACATAGGGCACATTCTCAAAACTACGGAAGCCTGTTTCCACTATTGAAAAAAAACTTTTTTTCTCTTCAATTTTGCTTTTACATCTCGCAATTCTGACATTTTTTCTCCGAATTGTGTGACATAAATGTGCAGACTTTGTCCCCAATTGCAAGTTTATCTTTCTCAATTCTGACTTTATAACAAGCAACCACGAGTTACAAAGTCAGAATTGTGACATACAAACTTGCGATTCTAAGAAAATAGTTAGAATTTTTTCCCCTTAGAATTTGACGTTCTCAAATTCTTCACAATTCTGAGAAAAAAAGCCAAAATTGCAAGTTATAACTGGGAGTTAAATTGCGAGAAAAAAAGTCACAATTACCTTTTTATTTTTTATTCAGGAAAACAGACAAAGCAAAGCAAAACAAAAAAACAAAACAAAACTTAAAAATCAAAATAAAACCAAACAAAATTCTTACATACCCAAACAAACAATTCATGTCAAAACACTGAATACAACTTATTGTGGGAAAGTTAGAGGGGATGCTGCATCGAATTAGTTCTATGCTAATTTAAGAGCCTCAAAGCCATTCATTGGTGGGCACATATCAGAGGAAATAAGCTGACAATCAACTTCCACACAATCGCTTACATGCACAACAAATGTTAATTGCAGTAATCACCATTGCCAGAGACATAAAACAGAAAAAAATTACACAAGAGCAACAATTACCCAGCCTAAATATACCACAAGTGCTGCAAACCCCTATATTAACCATGTTTGTTTGGCTACATGGAACAGAAACTGTTTTGAATACAGAGGTACGAGGAGGACAGATACAAAACAAGGCTAACATGAGCTGTGTTAGACAGTGTCAATTCAAAGCTGGTGTCCTCGTCTCCCAGTAGATGTCTTTATTACCCCTCAGCTCACATCTCAGAGCAGCCAGCCCTCCTCAGCCAATTACCTGCAGTGCCTCAGATCCCCCCCCCCCCCCCCCCCCCCGCCCC